AACATACACACACAAAAGGCAGAAACAAACCATTTCCAATTCTGGAGAAAAAAATTCTTAGTGAATGGAAACAAACAGGGCCAAAAATCACCACTAGGACCCAGAAATGAATCAGATTAGAAAACCCAAATTTTTTTTTATTTTATCAAAGTTAGTCCATAAAGATCAAATTTTGAGAGAAACCCAGAGAGAGAGAGAGAGAGAGAGAGAGAGAAGGTAGTTTACTGACAGAGACGTAAGAGCAGGTGGGGATGACAGAGATGGAATTGGACTTGGCGTGGTTGAAGGCCGCGACGCAGAGATGGGAAGCCAAGCCCAAGCCTCTCTTGGAAGATGGGACGAAGGTGTGCACCAAGTCCATCACTTTTCCATTTTCCCTGAGCACGTACTCTATGTACGCCTTCTGGTCCTCCGATTCGAACCTTCGCTTGGCTTCGTTCCACACAATCTTTGGAGCTTCTGCCCCGGACGAAGCTGCTGGTGTTGCCATCTGTTCAATTCCCCCTTTTCTGTGTGTCGTATATCTCTGTTCTCTGGTCTCACCAAATACCCAAAAGCCTCAACTCTCTATATGGTGGGCACGCAGTATGAACATGATAAATCAATTTTCTTTATTTTTTCCTTTTATTTATATAGGCGGATATATTTTTTTTTTTGGTCTGAAAGGCGGATATTAGACATGAGGGAATCAAAATTAGGACTTTGGGTGCAAGATAAATGTTCTATCACTTAGCTAAAAACTTCTTGCATCATATGTAAGTTCCACATTTGTAATTTAATATCGAAAAACTCAAGAATCAGATCAATTAGGGTGTGTTGTTGATTCCATACAATTCCTTCCCTTCCCATTCATGATTTCCCCATCTATAACTTTTTTCCTGGTTCTAAATAAGTAAATATGCCATTAATATAATTACTAAGGAATGCACACCAAATTGTGAATAAAAGGCCCTTTTACAAGGAAAACTATCGTAGTTTTTCATAATTTTAAAAAAAAAAAAAATCATTACTGAGTTTAAGCCTTTCTACAGGGGTTCATATTTGTTTTGGTGGGGTGAGATGAGATATCAAGATGAATTTTTTAGATACTGGAGAGGGAATACACTGCATTCGACACTTGGAAGATCGATCTATATCTATAGACTATATGCGTGACCCAAATTTATTCTGGTGAGTCTACCACGTATTCGTATAATCATATTGTATCGTGTCAGGTGTGTCAGGTGCCGGATACAATGCGTCTGATGTACACGAAACTAGTGCAGTCGTAGAGTAGGATTGATCACGACCAAGAACATCACAACATCCGACAGTAATAAGACAAAGTGAGATCCAACTTCATGTCAGCGAGTCTCATAAGCTTTTTGATATAATGACGGTTGGTCTTGGCGGGTATTGCTTAACTTACAAAACAGCATTCAACTTCATCAGAGCATTGCTACTCAGATCCTTACGCAAATAACTAACGTTTAGAAACACACAGGCACAGCTTCTCACCTCAATTAGCCACTCACAACACAATAAATCTTAAAAACACCAATCCTCTTCAACAAGGTGAAGTTTTCATTGACTAATCCGTCCTTATTTTGGAGCATGAGAAAATTGACATTCAAAACAATTGTTTCTTCATAACTACAGGCATCGTGCAGCTCAAATAATATAACTCTAACTAAAATTAACCAAGCTTTATAGAGACAACACCATTGTAAAGGCATAATAATAATATCCTCTTCAAATAATCTAGAGGAGCAACAAACTTGACTTCCTTAATCTGCGCGAGATTGCCCTGATCGGGATGAGAGGATGATCCCCACAATGAGGCCATACAAGGCAAGAGCTTCAGCGAAGATAAGGATAAGAATCATACCAACGAAGAGCTTTGGCTGCTGTGCATTAGCCCTGAAAATAATCCAAAACAAAATATGGAGAAAATATCATCCCGCTTGACATGTGTTATATAGTAAAAAGACAGTATTAATAAAGCTACGATAAATGTCATGAGAAGAGGGAAAAAAAAAAAAAAGGGACTACGATCTAACTGTAAAATCAACTTAACTAGAAAGGAACCAGCTTATGAAAACACAGATCTAAACAAGCATTTTATTGAAAACAAGAAAATTGTCTAGAAAACAAACAAGCTGAAGCTGCTCAACCTAGTGTAGTTTCGGCATGTGCTGCTGTCCTTGTTATTGTTTCGAGTCTTTTGATGCATTAAGATTATAACTCAAGTTTGGAATCATATAGAAAACACATCTAGTTTTTAAAAGATGGAACCGAACATAGAGCAAAGGTAATACTCATATTTAGCCCAAACTGGCTTCACCTATTTCCTTGGAACCGAACATAAAAGCCATGTTGTATTGAAGCATAAACCCAATACCCAATAGGAAATGCATTTCTACATAAGTAAAGCATCTCTGCATTCCACATTAAACATACAAAGAACCACCAACTTTGACAAACTATTGGCATATAAGAGATCCACCCCTTCTTGTAAGGTAATGCATCTCTGTTAATAGTGCTTTTCGTAGAAAACTTTTATTATAAACCCAAGTGCTTCCTGGGTATTCATTCAGCAGTCCAAATATTTTGTTTATTTCATCATCCAAATGCTGGAAAAAAAAAAACAAACGGTTTTGTAATTTGAAACTGATGTTGGCGCTCTCAAACATTAATTTCTTCCATTCAATGCTAATCAATAGGGAACTAATTCACTGGTCCAATAAAAATGACATCTTACTAGGCAAAGGCATATATGATCACGACTAAAAGATCAACAGAGCAAACTCAGTTAAATTAAAACTACAAAACCACAAGCAATCAAGAGCTAAGAGTAAAAGGGTTACCGGACACCGGCGTCACCGACGATCCCAATGGCCATTCCGGCGGAGAGTCCGGCGAGACCACAAGCAAGGCCAGAGGACAAGTGCGCGTACCCATCAAAGAGGTAATAAGATTTGGCCTTTGGGTTAATCCCGGTGCTAATAATAACAGCTATGATGAGGCCATAGATCCCAAGCACTCCAGCCATAACCACCGGCACGATCGATTTCATCACCAGCTCAGGCCGCATCACTCCCATGGAGGCCACACCCACCCCACTCTTCGCTGTGCCGTAAGCCGCACCCATGCCTGTGCAATCGCAATCATTTGAATCAGAAAGATCGAATCTTTGAGAAAATAAAATTGAAATTGAAAGGGTTTGAGAAATTGGAGTTACAGGAGAAGACGAGAGCTGCGGCGGCTCCGAGGAAGCCGAAGAAAGGAGCGGTTTCGTCGCCGCTGAAGGTAGAAGAAGCCATGTCTGTTTGTGTTTGGTTGCGGGGATTGGTTGTGTGCGCGAATCTGGGGTTTGGATGAAGAAGATAAAGCTCTGTTGTTGTTTAATGTAAGAAATTCTGTGGCTTCTGGA